TGGCCAACTATATGAACTTATGTGGGGAATTACTGCTACTCTCCTCATTTTTGTATTAGGATATGACAAACGTAATGGCGCCTAATGCTATCATAGCAAGATGCAAATGAAAGATTGCGTAAGGACATACTGTTTGAAGGAGCAAAACAAGCTCTATGAAATGACCATCAGTGATCCGCATCAATCAGTCCTATGTGAAATTTCGAGCAAAAAAGTAAGAAGATCTGGGCAACTTGAAATTAGGCTCAACCGCCAATATCAATCCATTGTCCCACGCATACAAGTACTGATGCACGCTTGCTGTAATCCATGCCTGGTTAGAAAGTTTAAAAGTCGAAAAATGGCGAATCCCACTCACTGCCTTGATGTTAGCCCTCCTACTTATGCAGTTATATGGTAAAAACCTTTGAACATATAACTGTATCCACACAGTTTAGCAGCGCTAGTTTCCAGGAATTTAGCACCGTATTTTCGTGACAACCTGATATTACTTGGAGCACTGTCTTAGCAGAAATTCGACTACAATTCTATCATTACTAACATCTCGCGAATGAAATACTGTCCAAACCGGGCTTGACGGTATCATCTGCTGCAAATCCGTTGAAAGTGAGAAGTGCTGATAAAGGGCCGTATGCATTAACACCCCGCCGAGGAGAAACGCAGCGTAAAAGAAAGCCTCATACCATGAAGCTCCAGATATCTGGACACGCTGTCTACATCCGTAACTATTCCCACCATCCTTCACTGTGGACATATTGAAGGAGCGAGAAGTTGTACAATCCGCGTTTTTCAGCATTTTGTATGATTCCCCAATGATCCCCAGCGGGACCATCTTTCTTCAAAGTCACTTTCCCTCTTCGAAGTTAACGAAATTCAATGTTGCAACGATTATCTAACCCAACAGTCTAAGCACGTTGCCGACAAGAATGTTTCTGAGATATCGAGATATTCAGTAAACCCCAACTTTCGACGTGTGGTTCATCGCAAATTTCACGGCTTCAATACATCATTTTTCTTGTGAGAAACATGCTTAGCACTGTTCCGTTAGACAATCAGTAAAACAGCAATCAGAAAAATCAGAAAACAAAACTTTGGATTCTTGTTACCATCCTGCTGATTACACTATATATCACAATCTTTAGAAAGATAATTATTTCTCTACTATCTTCTATCGTATAGCTATTCCCGGAAACCCTCAAAGTATTTGCAGGTGAAAAGCCATATTTCTGCCAATGGCCAAATTGCACATGGACATTTGCGCGCTCCGACGAACTCACGCGACATTATCGTAAGCATACCGGTGCAAAACCGTTTCGATGCCCCGAATGCTCCCGATGTTTCGCCAGAAGTGACCATTTGCAGGTAACAAGGCAATCTTCACGATTTTATATCGAAAACTCCCGATGTACCTAGAAGAGGCAAGTCCGAGTCTGTGAAACATGCGGTACAGCGCTCAAGTCAAACTAGTCCACAATTTTACAATAGCACACTAATGAGTAGATACTGTGCAAACTATACCTATTCTTCTCCGTTTTTCGAATGAATGCACTAATAGGGGTGCCTTAAAAACCGCGATTAGCTCCTAGTGTTATAACTCCTAGTGTTATGCCATTAGGTATAGCATAACTGCACCAAAAATTCTCCTTATGAAATTTGCCATGGTACAACAGCACAATTTTTTCGGCAACTGACTAACATTTCAGTTGCACATGAGAAGGCACGAAATCAAGCCGATTGTATCAGTGAATTACCCGAGTCAGGAGGAGTTGCTGTGAAGAGCTCTACAAATCTGTCGAAAAACTTTCATAATGTGAAGATAGACACACTTCCCTACTGACATGGCTAGTGATAAAAGCATGTTTCTAGGATGGAACAGATTATATCGATGCTT